GCCTGAAGCCTGCTTCAGATTCTCTGTCTCCCTCTCCCTCTGCCTCTCCTCTGCTTGTACTCTGTCTCTCAACAATAAATAAATGTTAAGGAAAAAAGACTTTGCTCACAAACCTGCAATACAGGCAGTGCAAGTATTGCTGCGTGACCATCAGTTCCATTCATTTTCTGGCTGTGTGGCTTTGGGTGACTCGGTTTACTTCTACAAGTCCTACTTTCCTCATCTGTATAATGGAGAACAGAGTCCTTGTTTCTTCCACCTCACCAGGTTTCTGGGAGAGTTCTATGAGCTAGTGAAACCCAATTAAACATTTTACAGTTCAATAACTATATGAGAGATGATTGGGTATAATTAAAATACAATCGATGGTACTGAGTTAATGAAGTTGCCCTCTCATAGGACCAAAGACTTCCCTGTGGAACAACTTATAATTATAAACTTACTCTGTATGATAATTTAATCTATACCTTCTTTTTAAATATATACACCTTGAGGACTGGGCCTGTGTATGTTTGGGGGCCTCACACATGGTGCTGTACTAAATGGAGGTTGGGTGAGTGTGATGGTTAATTTATATGTCACCTTGACTGGGCCACAAGGTGCCCAGACATTTGGTCAAACATTATTCTGGATGTGTCTTTGAGGGTGTTTCTGGAGGAGAGTAACATGTGACTTAATAGATCAAGTGGAGTGTATTGTTCCGCCCCTGTATGGGTGGGCCTTGCTCAATCAGTTGAAGGCTTGTCTAGAATAGAAGTTGAATAAGAAAGAATTCTCTCTCTCTCTGCTTGACTATCTTCAAGCTGGGACATTGGTCTTCTACTTCTGGACTCAGACTTAAGAGGTCTTTCGGCTCTCTTGCAGATCTTCTTAACCTCCATAATTGGGTTAGCCAATTCCTTATAGTAAATTTCTTTTTGCATGGCTTTCTCTTTATAGTATCCATACCTTTACATATATGTTCTATATAGTGATATTTATATTATATATAGTGATAGTTACTATAATGAATATATACACATTATATGTACATATTTATATATCCATATCTTTACATATATTATATATAGTGATATTTACTATAATGAATCTATATGAATATACATACATAAATATAGTCTGTTTTCTCTTTCTCTGTGTGTATATACCTCCTATGTTTCTCTGGAGAAACAATACTCACCTAGATGAACACAGTGAGTATTCGTGGCTTCTATTAGCATGACAGGCATGGTGATGGTAAGAAATAGACTCTAGGTGTATGTGAAGGTAGAGCCCATAGGATTTCCTGGCATACTGAGTACAGGATGTAAAAGACAGAGAGGCACCAATGAAGATTCTAAGGCTTTTGTCCCTAACAACCAAGAAGTTTGGGTTTTGTTCACCAGATGGGGACGTCTGTAGAGGAAACAGGTTTTGGAAGGAAGATTAAACATTTAGTTCTGAGCTTAATGCTAAGCATGTAATTACAGAATTGGCTGTAGGAGTCCTAAAGGTCTATAGAAACCATCTAACCTAAGAGTTTCAATAAATGGCCATCTAGTTCCTGCTTAAATATCACCAGTGATGAGGAGCTCACTACCTTGTGAAGAAGTTTGTTTCATCGTTTAGGCAGCTCTAGGTGCTATGGCATTGTAATCTTATACTCCATAAGAAGTCTGGCTGCCAGCTGTCCACATGTTTGAAGTTGCTGATGATGCATCACTGAGTTATCTCTTTTCCATGAGAAACACACGCAGTTCCTCTGGCCATTCCTCACATGGTCTGAGTATCAGTCACTCACACTGTAGTGTGGAAGTCACTTCTCTCAGGGGATTTGCGCTGAGACCTGGCCTGGTAGAGCATGCACATCTGATCCAGGGACAGCCGAGCATGGTTAGGAATATGACCACAGGTCAACTGACCCTGAGAGATGAGATGATGGAAGAATATATGTGGCCCATGGCAATTGGGGAGGCTAGAATTTAGGGTCAAATGTGGGGAGACCGGAGGACAATCATGGTGGGAGTCTGGTCTGTCTTGCATGGGGCATTGTATGCAGTGCTTGCAGAATGGCTGAGTGGGCAAACGGGTGTATTTATGGGTAAGAAGCAGATCATGCACTGCCTTCCAAGCTCAAAGAGCCTTTCCTTTTTTCTCTTTGTACAGATTTTATTTTTAAGTAATCTCCACCCCCAAAATGGGGCTCGAACTTACAACCTCGAGATCAAGAGTCACATGTTCTCTGACTGAGCCAGCTGGGCCGCCTTGTGCACAGGGAGGCCTCCAGCCACAGCTCACTTCCTCTTTTTGTAAGTTCTCATTGCATTGTATATGTTCCCTTAGAAGCAATTTCCATAGTTGCAACCTTACAATTCATCATTTGATTCTTTGCTTTCCTTTCCCTTTAACCATGGGCTCCATGAGGCTGAGGCCATCCTTGGTTTTGCTCTCCAGTGCGTCTCCACTATGTGCATAGAGGCTGGAATGTAGGAAGCACTAAAAAATATCTATTAAATGAACCAATGGTCCAATCCTTTAACCAATCCTTAAATATTAAGGATTAATTTTTAGTGATCATTGAAGCTTGGATCTTGTTTTAAAAAAATTAAAAAAAAATTTTTTTTTAATGTTTTATTTATTTCTAGAAGAAAGAGAGAGACAGCGTGAGCAGGGGAGGGTCAGAGAGAGAGGGAGACACAGACTCTGAAACAGGCTCCAGGCTCTGAGCTGGCAGTCAGCACAGAGCCCGACGCGGGGCTCAAACCCACAAACCGCGGGATCATGACCTAAGCAAAAGTCGGATGCTTAACCGACTAAGCCACCCAGGCGCCCCTAAAAAAATTTTTTTTAATGTTTATTTTTTGAGAGAGAGAGAGAGCGCGCTCGCGAGTGAGCAGGGGAGGGGTAGAGAAAGAGGGAGACACAGAATCCGAAGGAGGCTCCAGGCTCTGAGCTGTCAGCACAGAGCCCAGTGTGGGCCTCGAACTCACAGAGTTCATGACCTGAGCTGAAGTCAGACGCTCAACCAACTGAGCCCCCCAGACGCCCCTACTGTTTATTTGAGCCACCCAGGTGCCCCTACTGTTTACTTTTCTATGTGACCTTGTCAAGTTTCCTCATCTCTGAGCCTCAGTTTTCTCACCTGTACTACAAAAAGGGCTGGAAGAGAAGATCTAACAGGGACCTTCCTGCGTTAGCAGCCAATGAATGATTCAACCACTCCACACGTTTTCATTTTGGCTGCACTACAGCTGGGTAGCTGATGGACTCACAGAGTGACCTGCGAGGAAGTCCTTCAAAGTTGTGTGAACTCCACTTGGTTTCCGGAAAGCCGTGATAAAGAGATATCAACAGAGAGGTCTGAGCCTTGGGGGACAGCCATGCTACAACAGAGAGATCAATTGTCTGGCTGTTGCTGTGGATGGCCAAGAAAAAAATAGGTGTCAGCAGAGATGCAGGATTCTGTGTGAGAGGACAGGCTGCGTATCTTTGTAATCAGCCAGGAAGAAGTGCCGTGGAGCTGATCTTGGGGTAGGGGGTGGGGAAGAGAGTAATCAGAGCCTGGCATCTGACGCAGAGGCTGCCTGAGTCAGAGCACTGGGCAGGAAGACACAGTCATCGAGCCTCGCCTCAGTTGGTGCTGGGGCTCTGGGTGATCCTGGCTCACTCAGTTCTCCTAAGAGCCTGGAGGAGACGGAATTATCCTTGTGGACGGAGAAACTGAAATATAAGGTTAAGATATTTGCCAATAGGCTAAGCTGGTGTAACAAAGAGATCCCCGCATTCGGAATCCAGAATTAGTTAAGTTCTTAAAGAACAAGGAAGTTTACTTCTCTGCTGGTGGAGCCCAGGGTGACTATTCTAGGCAAGTGGGTAGCTCTACTCCGTGGGGTCGTTCGTGGTCTCAAGCTCTTTACTTATCAGTGACTGTGCCATTCCCTGAGGCCATAATGTCGTTCCCAGGAAGCAGGGCATCGTACGTACAGGAAGGTCACTCATGCAGAGGTTTATGGACCTGGATGGAAGATGTGTGAGTGCGGGTGTGCAAGCACACACATGCACATACTTCTCCTTGTGTTCTTTTTGCGAAGACCTTCCTCTTATTTTCAGGGAGGGCTAAGTGTGTAGCAGGTGAGTCCCAGGCTGGCCAGATGCATCTCTGATACAATTCTACTGCAGATGTGGGTGGACCCCTTACAGCCGTCACTGAATCCATGCCCCGCACAAAGGAAGTGGGGGTGCCAGGGCTCCACAGACAGACCGAGAGGCCAAAGCCATGAGCTTCCTTCCCTCAGCTCTCCCTTCGCGGTTGAGTGTCTCCACCCGCTGTCCCCACAGCCCACCGAGGACTCTGCAAACATGCCTGCGTCAGAGCCTCCCCGGGACACCCCCTCATCCTCTTACACTTTCCCCAGCCGTTGGGTGACCAGCCTCTTCCTCCCCCACGGTCCCAGGTCATATGCCACCTCCCAGAGCCGGGGCGGCTCCAGACACAGGCTTACCACAGAATTTTCCACCCCAGCCACGTAGGACCCCTCAGTTGAGACCAGGGGACCACCTGAGATGGTCTTCTGGTTCGATTTCCTCCCTGGGCTCGGGGAGGCCCTGGAGAGGAGGGAGAGAGCGAATATTGTTACAGAAGAAAAGGAAAAGCAAGGGGCCGCTGGCTGCGAGCAGCTCTACCGCCATCGATTGGGTAATTGGGAGCCCTCGGGTGTGAATCCTCATTAAGGCCAAGGGGTATGAATCATTTTCTAATGACACCTCTTCGATCCCAGCGGCTCAGCATGCAAGCTGCCCACACGCTTGGGCTGCTAGTCGGGAGAGCCAGTGGGGGCCGCAGCCGGGCCGCCTGCCATATGTTGTTTCTCACAATTAGCAGGTGCTGGGTTGTGGGCTGGGCACCCGGAGGGCAAGGTGGCTGCCAGGGACATTCTCCAGAGCTGTACCCAGAGCGTGGCAAGAGAAAGAAGGTGATGGCTGGGGGTGGCGGGCATAATGTGGAGGTCAGGAGGGAGACATCCATCTGTAGATAGTTTTATTTCAATAGTTTTACTGTATTTGTGACTCACGACTGCGAATTGATGGGATTGTCGTTTCCAGAACAGTAGTCGTTCTGGTTGGTCTACAGATGAAGATATTTGGGACAGATGTTTTGGCGTCTCTAATCACCCTGTGAAAAGAATTGTAAACATATTGGCCCTTTTCTGAGGAATCACTCATTAATGGTATGGGTGATATAATTCACCCCCGCCCCCAGTTTTTGTTTACAGATTGCTCTTTTGATGAAAAAGTTGCAAACAGTGAAATAAGGCATATCTTAAATGTGCATTAGGCGGATTTTTAAAAATGCTTTATTTATTTTTGAGGAAGAGAGAGAGAATGTGAGCAGGGGAGGGGCAGAGAGAGAGGGAGATGGAGAGTCCCAGGCAGGCTCCACACTGTCAATGCGGAGCTGATGCGGGGCCAGAACTCACGAACCGCGAGATCATCACCTCAGCTGAAACCAAGAGTCGGACGCTTAACTGACCGAACCACTAGGCATCCCACATCACGTTTTAAAGGCCGATCCATGCTGTTCCCTGTGGTAGTCCATGCTGTTCCCTGTGGTAGCAGGTTATTCGTTTTCTTACCAGCCGCAGTGTGCTTGCATATTCTTCTGCGGATAAACACCCGGCCTCTCTCTAGTTATCAGCCATTATGAATAGAGCTATTGCTGCAGACATTTTCTGCACAAGTCCTTTTGTGAATGTATGTTTTCCTGGGTACATATTTTGGGATGGACCTAAGGCAAGTAGGTGTTTACTTTTATAAGAAACAGCAAGACTTCTTCCCCCCAGAGGAGATTTATGAGTGATATATTTCCAAAGCAACATACAGGAGTTCCAGTTGCTCCACAATTTCCCTGGGATTTGGTGTTGTCAGAGTGTTTTGTTTGAGATTTAGCTGTGCTGGTGGGGGTTTGCGGGGTGACACTGCATTTTAATACTCATTTCCCTGATGACTTTGATGTTGAGCACTTTTCCTACGCTTGTTGGCTGTGTGGATACAAGAAGTGGTTTTTAAAATCACTGGACCTTTTTGTTTGTTTTTTCATTGAGCTTGGAACTTTGCTGGCTCTACTAAATGTGTGTTGGACCCAGATGAGTGGAAACTAGCTCCACGGGCTTTTCTCAAAGGCTTTGTGCTGATGCAAAAGGACTTTGTGGCAGGAGATCATGGAGACTGCGTGACCCCGGCTGATAAGAGCTGGAATGCTCTCTCCGCCCACGGTTCCCAGTTCCCAGGGCGGAGCCATTGCTAGGAAACAGCCTGCACAGTGAGGTGCGGTGGAGACGGTGGTGGAGGAGCCCGGTTAGGACCTCTCTACACACTGTTAGGATTCGAGCAGCAGGTGCAGAGATCCCAGCTCATGCAGCGCCCATGACAAGCGTCGCTAGTAAGTCCCCTTGCTTGGACTCTGCCACCTGCCGCTCTGGAGTGGCCTGCCTCCCTCTTAGCTCTCCCCCCTGTCCTTCCCCCGAGCGGCCGGGCCGGTCTGCGAACCAACAGCTGTTGGGACTCTAGAGGTGGCAAATATTTCCAGAGGTCCGACTGCACTGTGCGGGCACCCCTACTTTATAGATTAGGAACCCGAGGCTCAGAAACGTGCAGTGATCGGCCCGAGATCACACTGCGCCCTGGCGGCCCAGAGAGCCATCCCCAAGGGCTCAGACGCTCAGTCCAGGCTGCTTCTACCACCCTGCCTCGCGTGGCTCTGCGAACTAAGTCTCGGTTGTCCCATCTGCCGTGCAAAGGCGCTGATGAATGGCGAACGTGGGAGTCCCTCTTGTTTTCTGGATTTGTTTGTCTGGAAGGGAATGGGTTTCGCGATGTGGGGGATCTCCATCCAAGGCCAGGGTGGGGTGAGGAGGGGGATGTTCCCCAAATCTCTACGGACCAAATCCAGGTTGGGGCATGGGGACTTTCATGCTGGTTTGGTTGTGAGTGGTGGCATTTGCCGTTGACTCAGGGCCTAAGATCTAGTAATTCATTCTTTTGTCTGTTCAGTGTAGTTTTTGCACACTGCCGTGTACCGGGGGCACGCTGGGCACTGGTGGTGGGGATGACAAAGAGAAAGAAAGGGGCCTGATGTCATGAAGCGTCCCTTTAGGGAGGAGCAAGTGGGTGGAACGTGCTGGAAGCTGCTGCCTGGAGCCTTGGGAGATGCCGGCCCCTCCCCCATCGCAGGGACATTGGATGAGAAAGTAGCAGTTAGGGCCGCCCTTTCCTGAGCCGACAGCTCCCAGGAGGAGGAGGGGAGAAGGTGACATCTCACGGGCATCTGGGTCACACCTGCTCAGTTGTAATGACATCCACTGGCAGTTCGTTGTTTGTGAGTGTTTGACTTCCTCACCGGGTCTTCCATTGCCTTCCCCTCAGGGTACCAGGCCTCGAGGATTCCATGGTGGAGAAAACACAGTTGGTCCTGTCCCCCACCTCCACCCTCCAGAGCAGCTTGTGACCTTCGGGAGAGAAGCTTGTGACCTTCGGGAGACCATCTATGCACCATCACAGCTGTGAGATAAGCCATAAGGATGCATGGCAGGCGTGTTCTCAGGAGTGTCAGGGAAGGCTTCCTGGAGGAGGAAGGAACTGAGCTCAGAAGAAAATGACATCTTCTCGTGCATCTGCAGAGTGAAGAGAGTAGAGAATATTCCAGGTGGAGGGAATAGCCTGTGCTTCTGTGGCCCGAGAGCTCCTGGTGCCTTCAAAGACTTGATGGAGATCCCAGGTCACTCTTCTCTCTGTCCTCGGAGTGGGTCAGAGCCAGGGCACACCTGGCTCTTAGCAGGCACCTAATGTTCATCAGACTGAATGGAGCCCAACTCTTCTCTTCCCTCCTGATGGGAAAAACGAGAGCATCAGGCAGTATGTGACAGATGAAGTGGCCCGTCTTGGTAAGTCCATCGAAACTTCTCTCATATAATTTGTACTAAGGGAAAATACTGACGGGTGTCATTTCTTGGCACCAGCTCTGGGCTGAAGACCACGACCAGTATTTTTACCATAAATCTCAACCCCTGACGGCACTGCATCCGAGAGCACTGTGCTTCCCTGTCTTGCACATCAGGGAGCTGAGATGCAAAGTGGGGAGTGGTGTGCCCGGTGCCATAGGACTGGGTATGGGCAGTGCCAGGATTCCAGTCTATGTGTCTTCCAAGCCCAAGCCCCCTTCCTCCTGCCCCTCACTGCCTGAGCCTGGGGGTGGGGCGTGGTTCCAGTTAATCTGTTCGAGTTAAATGTGGTTCAGATTGCTTGCTAATGAAAGCCGTCCAGCCAGGATCTCAGCAAGATCCTTTATGGAGTAACTGACAGCCAGAGATTGCCAATACAAAGCAATTAATATGGAGTAATGATGAGTGATAAGAGATGAAGATCTAAAATGAACTCTTCAATGACAATATCATTTTCTTGTCTGCTTCCGTTACGCACACTGACAGGAAGAGAGTTGACATGATAATTTTATAAAACTCTCTGACACTTCCTGTTAACTCCCCTCCATTAGCTTAGTATGATAATTGGCAGAAACAGACACGCGGGAGTAGAAACGAGCTCCTGGAGGAAGAGAGGGGCTTCAGAGGGGGACAGGGTAACCTGTGTCTCCTAGGGCTCTGAGCGCCAGGGCAGCGTCTGAACGGTGCGCTCAAAACTGTGTTTCCCGTGGCCAATCTACGAACTTGGGGAATGTGGACACTACCGTCTCAAAAGCAGAGGGTGGGGTGGAAATGGGCTTTCTAACTCCCAGCCTTTACATTCTCGCTCCTAGCTGATACACCTGCCTCCTCCCCTCCACTCACCTGAATTTTACCCATCCTTTGAAGCCCAGCCAGGGTTGCCTCACCACATTCTCAACATTTCCTGACTTTGAACATATACTTGGAGGTGGACTGAGTTCATGGACAAACCCTAGTGTGAGAGCAGGGATCTGTGGTTTCTAATTTCCTGGCAAGTCCTCTGGCTCAAACTCCTTTGTTTGTTTATTAAAAACGTTTATTTATTTACTTTTTGAAAGAGAGAGAGAGAGAGAGAGAGAAAATGGACGAGTGGGGGAAGGACAGAGAGAAGGGGAGAGAGAGAATTCCAAGCATGCTCCATGCTGTTAGCACAGAGCTGGACATGGGGCTTGAACTCATGAACCGTGAGATCATGATCTGAGCCGGAATCAGGAGTCAGACGCTCAGACTGAGTCAGACTGAGCCACCCGGGCGCCCCTCAAACTCCCTTGTTTCATGTTGGGAAGTCTGAGCCTAGAGAGGCCGGGGCTTCCAGTGACTGAAACTGAAGTTTGTCGTCACTGGAATAGTTTCTTAAGACTTGATTTTTAAAAACTTGGCCTCAGGTCTCCGTGTTGCAAGTGGAAACGCCAGTGCCAGGGATTGAATTGTGTCCTCAAGTTCGTATGTTGTGGCCCCAACCTTGGTGGCTCAGAATGTGCCTCTATTTAGAGACAGGGTCTTTACTGAGGCGGTTCCATAAAAACAGGGCCATATGAGGTGAGCGCTAATCCAGTATGACAGGGGTCCTTAGAAAAAGAGGAAATTTAGACCGAGACACACACGAAGGGAAGACTTGGGGAGAAAATGGCCACGTATATGCCAAGGAGGGCGGGCCTGGTACAGACCCTCCTTCACCACCCTCAGAAGGAGCCAACCTTGCCCAGACCTTGATCTCAGACTTCCAGCTTCCAGATGAGTGAGGAAATCAACTTCTGAGGTTTAAGGCACTCAGCCTGTGGGTTTTGATCACAGCTGCTCTTTTTTTTTTTCCTTTTTAATATTTTTATTTATTTCTAGGAGAGAGAGAGAGAGAGACAGCGTAGAGCAGGGGAGGGTCAGAGAGAGAGGGAGACACAGACTGAAACAGGCTCCAGGCTCTGAGCTGGCAGTCAGCACAGAGCCCGACGCGGGGCTCGAACCCACGAACCGCGAGAGCATGACCCAAGCGAAAGTTGGACGCTTAACGGACTAAGCCACCCAGGCGCCCCATGATCACAGCTGCTCTTGCAAAAAGCTTACGATCAGCCAAGTAAGTAGTAATAACAGCTAACATGAATACCAGTACTTGTACCACTATTAGTAGCATTCTCTCTTCTTGAGGGCCCACTCTGTTATACATGTTAGCTCATTTATT